TATATATATATATATATATATATATATATATATATATATATATCAATTTCAAAAGTTTGGGGTCAGTATGATTTTTTCATATTAACAATAAATAAATAAATAAAAAATAATATTTTTATTCTGCTAGTATTACAGTTCCACCAAAATTATTAAGCCGCACAAGTGTTTTGAACATTGATAAGAAATGTAATAAGAAATGTTTCTTGAGTACCAAATATTAGAATGATTTCTGAAGGATCATGTGACGCTGAAGACTGGAGTAATGATTGCAGAAAATAAAGCTTCGCCATTACAGGAATAAATGACATTTTAAAATACATTTATTTAGAAAACAGCTATTTTAAATTGTAATTATATTTCTCAATATTACAGTTTTTAATCATAGTTTTGATCAAACAAATGCATTCTTGGTGAGCGTAAGATAATTTTTTAAAAAACATAAAAAAAATCTTACAGACCCAAACTTTTGAACAGTACTATATAGCTCGATTATTAAAAAAATTATCTATGGAGGACTAATAAAATAAAATATCAATTTATTAAACAATAAAAATGTAAACTTATAAATGACTTATCAAAATGGAAAATAGACATTTAAAAATTCTGATTTAAAAAGTAAAATAACGCATTAATACATGATTTGAAATTGACAAATAGACATAAGTTAAAAGTACTATTTAGTATAGTTTTTAATCCAATTACTAATATTATTATAAATAATTATTATAATTATACATAGTAAATTTTACTATATACAATATAGTAAATAATTTATTTACTAACATTTCAATAAAATAATACTTTAAGAACATATTACTAAACACAACTTTTAAAGTCATTGGTCAGTTGCAGTTCCTAATCCATTTGCCAACTGCTTTTTTTAATATTCATTTTTATCCAACTGGAAAATGCTAAAGAATCTCAAACGGAATTTTACACACCACACCAGCCTTAAGGGTTCCTCTGAAATGAAAAGCTTTAAGCCATTTCAGAGAAAATATCAAGACAACAAGTCAAAAGACTGGAAATATGGAGATCACCCCACCCTACCTGCTATTTTAACTATTTTGTTGATTTTTTTATATAGAGGAAGTAGAAACCCCTTGAGTCCATCCATGTGTGTATCACTGAGGTGAGCTGTTCTCAGAAAGTGAGAGGTTGTAGAAGAGGAACACACTCTGGTTGGCTGAGAGTTCCTGATTGGGGGTTAATCACATGCTATGCCCACACTAGAACCATGAGGGCCAGAGGAAAAGCAGTGCCCGACAAACCATATCCAAAAATCATGCCTCCAGTTTAGATGCTACCTCAAACCATCATGCAAGTAATAAAAGGAATGTTCCTTTAATGTCACCACTCCAAAAGGGCACGGCAAATATCTGATTAAGTTATTGTTGCTTAAAAAAAACCTTAAAACTCTTGACTTTTTGACATTTTTTGTAGAAATAGCATCTTGTGATGCCTTAGTTACATAATGGCTGTGTCTGCAACCTAAAAACCATTGCATTAGCAGGCAATATATGGAGGTAGGAAGGAATCAAGGCAAATCTGAATCTGAAGATACTAAAATGTCTTCATCTGGTCAGTTTCTGAAAGCAGCATATAGTAGATGTATCCTTCGATGCCTTCCTGCATGCAGTTTGAAAGTTGGTGGAATTTTTTTTTTCTTGTTTAAATGTCTAATTGCATATCAGCTGAGAAGGTATCAAGTATATCAAGTATTGTAGTCATCGCAGGGCTCAACGATAAGGATGGCTGACCTGGGGTCAGTGGCCTGTGATAGGTTTGTCACATAGTAAGAATGTGAAAATAAAGTAAATAATTAAATAATACATGTAAACATTATTCATTTAAAATTAGAAACATAAAATTATTCATGGAAATATACACTACCATCCAAATGTTTGGAGTCTGTAAGATGTTTTAATGTTTTAGAAAGAATTATGCTCACCAAGTCTATTTATTTGATCAAAACAAAATCAGTAAAAACAGTAATATTGTGAAATATTATTGCAATTTAAAATAACTGTTATCTATTTTAATATAGTTTAAAAAGTAATTTATTCCCGTAATGCAAAGCAAAATTTATATCAGTCATTACTCCAGTCTTCAGTGTGACATGATCCTTCAGAAATCATTCTAACATTTCTTATGATTATCAGTGTTGAAAACAGTTGTGTTGCTTAATAGTTTTGTGGAAACCCTGATATTTTTTTCCAGGATTCTTTAATAAATAGAAAGCATTTTTAATAGAAATATTTTGTAACATTATAAATGGTTTTACTGCCAATTTAATGAATCCTATTGAACTATTACTTAAAAAATTACTGACCCCAAACTTTTGAACACTAGTGTAAAATTACACATTTAAATGTATATATAGGCAAGTACAAATCAGAACTGAAAAAAATGTGTTGAGCCCAGCATTGAATATTTGCTTGGTCGTCTCTAAAGCTCACTTGAATCTGGTTTAAAACCTTTGATGTGATGTTATTGTGCTTAAAATCCACTTGTTCTGTCTGTTTAGTCATTGACTGACCAGGTAGTAAGGCAGGTGCCCTGTGTTTGGGACACAGCCACAGTGTTAACTAGTAAGCAATCCAGGCTAAATCAGATTACTTGAAAACTATTTGACACCAAACTGTACCCAGACATGTGCAGTGCCGCTTCGTAGTGATTGGTGGCTTTCTGGTCTTGTTGCTCTTCTCTAATGTAGTGTGTTAGTTGGTAAGAGCAGTCAACTTTAGAATGTTCAGAATGGTGACCCTGGCGGAAAATCCAGCATACGACGATAGATGTGTTTTGAAATGTCCCAACTGGTAGGTTCCATGTTGAACAAGAAACAAACCAGATACCAAACCATCTACCATTTCAAACTCATCTACCATCTTATGTTGGATTATGCCCAGATACATGTCCTGGAATTACCTTCTCCGTCTTCATCCGTCTCGATGGCTTCAATGGCTTCGGTGGTTGCTGGAGGGAGAGGAGGGGAGTGTGTTACATCTGAACAAGCCATGCAACAGCAGTAACGCACAGGCAGCAGTAGTGCACAAGCAGCGGCGGGCACCGGGACAACCCCGCGAGACGCATGCATGCCAACCAGACTATGGACCACAGACTTAGACAATCCTGTCAACCATTCGCACTTTGCAAGAGACTTCTCCTGCTTTCCATGCTTCCTGCACTCTAGACACCCTACGGGTCTCTCAGAAACTCACTCTCACCCCAGTTTACCACTGACGGGTAAACCGACCCACTAATGTGTCCATGCTCTGGGGGAACTAAATGAGCAGTACCCCAAAGCTTGGAGTTGTCAGAGGATACAGAAAGAGACAGATGGAGAGACAGGGACAGACATTACAGAGACAGAAGAGGAGGAAAAAAAGAAGCAAGAGAGAGGGAGAGAGAGAGAGAGGAGGAGATAGAGAGAGACAAGAACCAAGAGAGGAACATGGCCACTACTGGATTGCGTGCTCACCACTCTGCAGAGTCTGCTTGCCTCCAGAAAGCACCCCGCTGGGCAGCATGCCGGTAGGGGTCAGGCCCTTCAGGGTCAACACATTCTCACTCTCCTCTCTGCAGGAACAGCATATTAAAATCAGAAACAATCAAACGCACATCACTGATATTACACTACCATTCAAACATTTGGGGTTGATTAGTTTTTGAAAGAAGTCTCTTATGTTCTCCAAGGCTGCATTTATTTGATCAAAATATTGTGAAACATTATTACAATTTAAAATAACTGTTTTCTATTTAAATATACATTTTAAATGTAATTTATTCCTGTGATGGCAAATAGCTGAATTTTTTGCAGCCATTATGCCAGTCTTCTGTGTCACACGATCCTTCAGAAATCATTCTAATATGTGACCCTGGAGCACAAAAGCAGTCTTAAGTCACTGGGTTATATTTGTAGCAATAGCCAAAATACATTGTATGGGTCAACATTATAGATTTTTCTTTTATGCCAAAAATCATTAGGATATTAAGTAAAGATCATGTTCCATGAATATATTTTGTAAATTTCCTACTGTAAATATATTAAAACTTAATTTTTGATTAGTAATATGCATTGCTAAGAACTTCAGTTGGACAACTTTAAAGGAGATTTTCTCAATATTTAGATTTTTTTTGCATCCTCAGATTCCAGATTTTCAAATAGTTGTATCTCAGCCAAATATGGTCCTATCCTAACAAACCATGCATCAACGGAAAGCTTATTTATTCAGCTTTCATATGATTTATAAATCTCAATTTCAAAAAATTGACCCTTATGACTGGTTTTGTGCTCCAGGGTCACATATGCTGATTTGGTGCTCAAGAAACATTTGTTATTATTATCGATGTTGAAAACAGTTGTGCTGCTAATATTTTTGTGGAAATCATGACACATTTATTTTATGATTCTTTGATGAACAGAAAATTCAGCATTTATTTAAAATGAAAATCTTTATAAATTATGAATGTCTTCACTGTCACTTTTGATTATCCTTTTGAATATCCTCCTTGCTGAATTAAAGTATTAATGACCCCAAACGTTTGAATGGTAGTGCACACAGGAAAATGTCATGAGTGATACAAACTTTATATTTAGTACATTTTAAAAACCTAGCAGACTAAACCAGGAGTTTTCAAACTGGGCTCTGTTGAACATTTCAAAGAAGAAAAAGCTAATATTTACTGAAATGTACATTATTAGAGGTTCATTCTACATTCGAAAGGCTGGACAAAACACTTGTGATGTTTTTTTTTATTACTTAACAGCCATAGTTTTAAATAGTAAATAAAAAAAGAAAGAAAAAATATTAAATATATGTGGTCATATTTGGCTTCAGTACACTGACAATTTAATGAATGTTTTCTTCATAATCTAACTTTTACTAGTTTTCTCACAGAGTATAAATGGCCATATATATATAAAACAAAAAACAGCTGCCCTTCAATTTTAAGAAAAGCAGTCTCTCAAAGATACTTACTGACATTAATAATCCTCTGCATATAACTTGCAATTTTATGTTACAACCACAAATATCCATAAAGATCCCAGAATTCCATACTATACCTTTGAAATATTTTCTTTAAAATACTTTCCGTACCTTTAAAATAGTTTTTGCATCCCAGTTTTATGTTGCACTGAATATCAGCCATGAATATATTGCTTTTAAGAATCTATCCTCCTATCCTCTATCTATCATGTCTGATAAGCAAGAATAATATAAGCATAAGCATGCGACCCAGCTGACCGCAGACTCAGCTGCTCAGCTGGAGGAAGCCCCATTTGTACCTGAGCACGGAGAACATCTTGGCCATCTTCCCAATGGCACGGATCTTGTTCCTAATCACCTCTTTCCGAGCAGCTGCTGCATTGGCTGTGGGCGGAAAGAAAAAATCAAGCAGTCTCAGTATAACCAGAGGCTAAAAACCCCCAGAAACTTTGATATTCTTACAGAAATTATGTGTATTGTGTTGGCGGCAGTTTTGGGAGCAACTAACCTAAATTTTTTAACCCTAAATGGTGCATACTAGTACCTTAAAGCAGTGGCGAGCGGCTAACTGGGTATGCTGAGTGATAGACCCCCCCACCCCCATTGGCTTTTAGGACACTCAAAAGGGATCAAGATGACAAATAAGAAACACCGTGGCAGGTGTCGATTTAAAAGTATGCACATTTCCTACCTTATTTGTAAAATAAATTCATCTCCAATCCTTCTTCTATCGTTTCAAGTTTATCCATTATTCCAATGCAAGAAAAATATAGCTGGTTTTCCAAGTAAAAACCGCCAAATAAAGTTTACACGTAGTTACGTTATGTTACTTAATCAGAGCGTGGGGAGATGGGGGGATTCCCCCGCTCTATATGTCTCTGCATCTGCTAAATGATTTTTTTATTCATAGTGAATGGGAGTTAAAATTCCCACCTGGGTGACACTAATAACAGACCATGCAAAATACCAAAAAATATTTAAAATATTGCAAAGTAACGTTGCAACCTTGCAAACAATAATAAAATCAGAGAAGGACTTTAACTGTAAGCGACACGAGCATACGCAAAACAAAGGGAACAATATGATGTTTGTTATTATTAAAGGGGTCATATGATGCGATTTCAATTTTTCCTTTCTCTTTGGAGTGTTACAAGCTCTTGGTGCATAAAGAAGATCTGTAACGTTGCAAAGACTAAAGTCTCAAATTCAAAGAGATATTTTTTATAAAAGTTAAGAGTCAACCACGTCTACCTAAAACGGCTCGTTCTAACACGCCCCCACATGTTTACATCCGCCGGCCGCATTCTACATCCAGTGCATTTTATGGAGGACTGTTTCCTGATCCTGGTAGAGTAGACTACAATGCCGGCTGTTCTGACTCACAGACTGTAAGTAAGTTTTTTCTATTTAAAGAATTTGCCACTGACGATTCAAACGCGAGTTTTGAGCAGTGTAGAGTAGGGCTTGTTGTTTGTCATTTCTC